GTAGCCAGCTATGTGCCCTGGTGTTATGCAGCCAGCTATGTGCCCTGGTGTTATGCAGCCAGCTATGTGCCCTGGTGTTATGTAGCCAGCTATGTGCCCTGGTGTTATGCAGCCAGCTATGTGCCCTGGTGTTATGTAGCCAGCTATGTGCCCTGGTGTTATGTAGACAGCTATGTGCCCTGGTGTTATGTAGCCACATATGTGTCGAGACATATAAGGAAAAGAGGACACACATATATGCTGCATGGTAAATACATATAAACTTTGTTAGTACATCACAATTGCTCATAATATTAATTATTTGAAGGGAAGTAAATAAAGTATATGTACAGTGCTCACATATCTTGTTCAGCCTATGTAAAATGCTCACATATCCCACTGATAAAGATTATACTCTAATCTCTTAAACATGGTTACATTTACCTTCTAATTAATGATTACACTTTATTTATTTAATATCATATAGATGATTACATTATATTTTATTGATAAATTCATTACAATGAATTATTTTATTGCTGGCACTTATAAATGATTGCATTATACTTTAAGGAGGATTTCTACAACCTTCATAGATTATTGTATTATAAACCTCTTATTGATCATATAAGATTATTGATCATATAAGATGATTATTGATCATCATATACATTGCAACCTTGTATAGATAATTACATTAAAATAATTCTAAACAACCATTATAAATAATTACATAACCTTGTATACAGTAGATATTTAATTTATAAACCTCGTATAGATGTAATAACCAGTCATATGTATAATTAAGGGAATCGAAATAACTTGAGTTACACTGATTTTGAAAATACTTTGACATTTGAACTATTTTTATTGTTACTTAAACTTTTCGTTTAAGTGAAAATATAGTACAAAAACATTACTTAAAAGAGCAGGAACATCTTACTACCAAAATGGTAGTTTGAATGCATTTCGAACGCCATAAAATCGATTAGTTAATAAACATATCAATCCACTTATTAAGTTAGAAATAGTGAATCTGAACAATCCAGCGACTTCCAGTGAATCATTCTATGATTCACTGGAAGAATTCATTTATCTAATCGTGAATGACGATAGTAGAAAGGTGAATGAAATGATTCGTCTTTTCAAAGTCATCTGAAGTGTTATCTAAAATTTCTTCCTTCAATTCCTGCAGCGCTGCTATCTGTGACTTCTTTCCTAACCATCTGCATCGCTGCCATCTTTTCATACTGTCTTCATCACCTTAAGTGTTGCCACTGCTTTCTCCTGCTTTCTCTTAGCACTTACATAGTTGTAATATGTTCAGGCTTGGTTGCTATTGCCTCTGCTTGACGTTCTAAGTATGAAGTTAAAAGTTCTAACTTTCTTACCGTGATCTGACTTAGGTTCAGTCTCTTTTCCATACTTTCTCTTGAGTTACTTTCTCTTTAGTCTCTGTTTGCTGCTTTCTCTTCGCCCTTAGGCTTTCTGCAGTTGAAATTACCTTTATGAAGTCTTATCGTACATATCAATCCTTTCGCTTTTCACTTTGCATTCTTATCTTATGTATATACTTTCTCTTCCACGCTTTCTTCCACGAAACGATAATGGTCCACGAAATGCCGAAACGTTTTCACTTTAATTCCAGATGTATGGATTATTATCTTAATATAATTCTACACTGAATGATGAAAGGACTAACCTGGGGGATGTTGTTGTGTATAAACTATTAATGAACAATATTGTCTCTATCGCTGAAAGAAAAAGTGTTGACCTTGGCTTTGGGAAGGCATATATTGACCCTTACATTAATGTAATGTAGTTATGATCTTGAGGGAACGTAGTTTGTAGAGAGAACTACTTGGGGATTGTTGGAGTGAGTGTTAAAGATGAGGAATAGCTCTGGTAAACTGGTTTACTGTATAAGTAGATGTTTCTGTTATTAATGGTAGAGTATATGCACTCTACACTGTCACTGGGTATACATGGTGCTGTACACTGACTTTACACTGTCACTGGACCTGCATAGCAGTGTATACTCACTCTACACTATCACTAGGCCTGTATAGCAGTGTATACTCACTTTACACTGTGACTGGGCCTGCATAGCAGTGTACACTCACTTTACACTGTCACTGGGCTTGCATAGCAGTGTACACTCACTCTACACTATCACTAGGCCTGCATAGCAGTGTACACACACTCTACACTGTCACTGGGCTTGCATAGCAGTGTACACTCACTCTACACTATCACTAGGCCTGCATAGCAGTGTACACACACTCTACACTGTCACTGGGCCTGCATAGCAGTGTACACTCACTCTACACTGTCACTGGGCTTGCATAGCAGTGTACACACACTCTACACTGTCACTGGGCCTGCATAGCAGTGTACACTCACTCTACACTGTCACTGGGCCTGCATAGCAGTGTACACTCACTCTACACTGTCACTGGGCTTGCATAGCAGTGTACACACACTCTACACTGTCACTGGGCCTGCATAGCAGTGTAAACTCACTCTACACTGTCACTGGGCTTGCATAGCAGTGTACACTCACTCTACACTGTAGTTAAAAGTGAATAACGGTATGCACTCAGTCTCTACACTGCGTATTTTGTCATACGCCACCACCACTAACTTTTAGAACTGCTATATATTACCTATCATTCTGATGTATATAATTACGCAATGACGCCATTATTCTATGTCCCCCATTAGATCATTCTAGAATCCAAGATGGCGTACGACACAGCTGTGACGTCCCGCGAAGGCGCCTCGTAAGTTCCGTGTCGTAAGTCAACCAATAGGGTGGACTTAACTGGTTAAGCATGACCGAGTCAGGCCCGTGATTGGCCAGGACCCGTCACTCACTGTCTGAACCTCACGAGGTAAGGTTGCTCGATACCACCCTGTTCTGAAGCCAGGCTCGTTAAAGCAGCGGCCGTCCCTTCAAGGCGCATTCATCAATGTTTACGTATTGTGCATTAAAAATATGTTTGTTATATGTAAATTAGTATTATTATATATTAAAGTTGTATATGTAGTTAGGTTAGGTTAGGTTAGGTTATGTTAGGTTAGGGTAGGTTAGGTTAGGTTAAGTTAGGTTAGGTTAGGTTAGGTAAGGTTAGGTTAAGTTAGGCTAGGTTAGGTTAGGCGTAGGTTAAGTTAGGTTAGGTTAAGTTAGGCGTAGGTTAGGTTAGGTTAGGTTAGGCTAGGTTAGGTTAGGTTAGGTTAGGTTAGGCTAGGCTAGGCTAGGTTAGGTTAGGTTAGGTTAGGTTAGGTTATGTTAGGTTAAGTTAAGTTAGGTTAGGTTAGGTGTTTGGGTTCTATTGACGAATATCTTTTATTTAAAACTCATGAACCAAACATTTTCATAGTTGTGGATTCTCTGTGCAAACCAGAAGTTGAAGACAGTGATACACGCAGCAAAAAGAAGACACTACATATGGGCCTGACGGCTGAGTGAACAGCGCTCGGGATTCGTAGTCTTAGGGGTCCGGGGATTAATCCCCGGCGAAGGTGGAAACAAATGAGTTTCTTTCACCCTGATGCCCTTGTAGCAGTAAATAGGTACCTGGGAGTTAGCTGTTACGGGCTGCTTTCTATCGGGGGGGGGGGGTTGAAATAAAGTTGACTGACAGTTGAGAGGCGGGCCCAAAGAGCCAGAGCTCAGCCCCCGCAACCACAACTAGGTGAATACAAGTAGGTGAATATTAGTAGGAGTAATACCTGATCAACCAGGCTGTGACTCATACGTCAGGCTGCGAGCAGCCGCGTCTAACAGCCTGGTTGATCAGTCCAGCAACAAGGAGGCCTGGTCGACGACCGGGCCGCGGGGACACTAAGCCCCGGAAGCACCTCAAGGAAAGGGGTGAGTACTCCCAAAAAAGTTGTAATTGTTAGTGAAATCATACGACAAATATCCGTAGACTTTATCCAGCCAGTAGCAATAAACTCCCTTGTGTGGGAGCAAATGAGAACACGTCTGCACCCCTCCGTTCCCTCTTTACGACTGATGCTCGTAGGAGCTACGGGAGTTGCCGGCGAGGATTTTCTGATGGCCTTCTGTCTGGTACTTACCTATCAGGACTTACCTATCCGTGACAACGAGGCAGTGAGACCTAGCTCCTTGGACCCCGTCTACTAGCCTTGTTATACCCGTTGTACTGTACTCGTTTGTGAGAGCTTGTGATAATCGTTATAGCTGGTTAGCGTATTATATATCTGATATAAAAATTCTTACAGTGATCGTTATATGTATATAAATGCATTTTGCCCACTACAGGAACCACAAAGAAAATAAATTAAATAAATAAATAAATAAATAAATAAATAACTTGCATAGTATTCAATTATTCCCCTCTGATTACAATCATGTCAGATATAAGACTATGCTCATGTTAGATGATATAATATCGTGTATAGCAGCATACGTATGCCGGGTATAACAGTATACTATGTCATTGTATAATATCGTGACCTCTGTCTCAAACAAGGTAACAGTATCGTCATCAAATATTAAGTCATTACAATACAATGAACTTTCCAATACACTGGACTTTTCAATGCTAAGTACACCCCGATATACAAGACTCATCAATACACATGATTCATCAATACACAGAGCTTGCAAAAGCACAAGACCTTCCAATTCACAAAACCTTCATGTATACAAGATTTAGAAAAACACAGGATTTCTCCAATATACAGGACTTACCATTACACAGGACCTCCAATTACAGAGAACTTGCCAAGGCATTGGATTTACAAACGTACAAGCCTTCCCATTAAACAGGACATCCCAAAACATAGTCAGTTGAAGTACTATTTAGGTCAATAATAGCTAAGGACACAAATTTATCAATAGCATTTTTTCATGTATATACAACACTAACATTTTCTGTTTGTTGGCAGGTGTGTCCAAACACACCCCAGGCAGGTGTGGGCAAATGTTTAACAAAAAACATTTGTTAGAATAAAGCGAGAATGAGAGATGTAGAGAGAGAGAGAGAGAGAGAGAGAGAGAGAGAGAGAGAGAGAGAGAGAGAGAGAGAGAGAGAGAGAGAGAGAGAGAGAGAGAGAGAGAGAGAGAGAGAGAGAGATGTAGAGAGAGAGAGAGTGAGTTTGATAGGATGGCTTCAGTCTAAGCTTCGCTTTTTGACCTCCTGGGATGGTCCCAGCTTTGTCCCAGCTTTAAGTGCTCCTGGGATGGTCCCAGCGTTGTCCCAGCGATCTCGGAATGGCCTCAAGGAAGTCCAAGGTACAACACTCTCTGGACTTTGATTCAGAGGATACAAAATGTTCACATATTACAAACAGTAACAGCCGTCAAGGACTATCTCCGAAGAGAAATATCTCTATTAATTATTGTCATGAATTTGCATGAGACAAGAGTTATAACATTGGATTCAACAGCTGTCCTTGACTTCACTTCCTTCACAAGACGAGTCCCTGGCCTAAACACTGTTTGACTTCACTTCCTTCACAAGACGAGTCCTCTGGCCTAAACACTGTTTGACTTCACTTCCTTCAAAAGACGAGTCCTCTGGCCTAAACACTGTTTGACTTCACTTCCTTCACAAGACGAGTCCCTGGCCTAAACACTGTTTGACTTCACTTCCTTCACAAGACGAGTCCTCTGGCCTAAACACTGTTTGACTTCACTTCCTTCAAAAGACGAGTCCTCTGGCCTAAACACAAACAACATTGATAACAGACTCTATTCCTCAATCGAGTACCAGGTAACCTGCTATGAAATAAAAGATACAGTTCCCTCACTGTCCTGAACCAGGAATGTTCTCAGGCATATCGAGGTCTTTTGACTGGTAAATGGAGAACTTTACCCAAGCTGTGATCCACTACAGTTACCAAACATCCGGGTGCATATTTACTGCAAGGAGAACAGAGGTTTCAAGTGTAAAAGTTAATGAGCCCGATAGGTTTTACTCTTGCCCCAGGAATCGAACTCGGGTCGATTTGATTATGAGGCAGCTATACCACCGCGCCACACACTGAAAATGTCCGAATCGTCATTTATAATATTATGTAAAGCGACAAATCCGCTCAAACTCTCTCAGGTCAAAAGGAATGTTTTGCAGTTCCTCTTTAATTAAAGTACACTTTCTTGTCTCCTGGTCACACGAAGGATAATTTTTATGTTTTCTCCCTCAATACCACTTTTAAAAGTTTAAGTTGGCGAGATCTTGTTAAGGTACTTGTCAAGTTACTTGTTAAGTCTTTATTCACTACAAGTATCACCGACAGCTGTTACTTGTGCTGTGTTGAACAGCACATCTTTTCTGCGTGGCGACTATTTGTTCCATGTGACAGTGAACAGGACCGAGACACTGCTGAAACAGGTGTTGGAGACTTGTATATACCAGTGAACAGATGTGAGAGAGTCCTATATGCCAGCCAACAGGTGTGGGAGCAGTATTAGCACGAGGAATGCAGCTGTAACCTGACTTCTTGAACAGCTGGAGGACTGCTGGACCGCCATAGCTGAAAAAAAAGATCAAGCCCCTTGTTATATTAGGAAATGTCATATTTGTAATACATTCCATGGAAATCCATAGCAATAACGAGGCACTGTTAACACCGTTAATCAACTATTACCGTTGAATTATTTACCAGCGATTTTTTTTTTTTTTTTTTTTTTTTTTTTTGATATATACAAGAGTTGTTACATTCTTGTACAGCCACTAGTACGCGTAGCGTTTCGGGCAGGTCCTTAATCCTATGGTCCCTGGAATACGATCCCCTGCCGCGAGGAATCGTTTTTTCATCCAAGTACACATTTTACTGTTGCGTTAAACAGAGGCTACAGTTAAGGAATTGCGCCCAGTAAATCCTCCCCGGCCAGGATACGAACCCATGACATAGCGCTCGCGGAACGCCAGGCGAGTGTCTTACCACTACACCACGGAGACTGCTAAACAACACTACCATGACATGGGACTCAAGACCTGAGTCTTGTGAAGACCCTGTCTCTCCAAGACCTCATAAATCCTTGACCCATTGGAGACAGTACTGTGAATTCCCGAAGGGCGATAAGACTTACTTTTTCTGGTGGAGAAGAAGAAGCTTTCAGACTCAGCCGACCAGCCGTACTTGTTCCTGACCCTGACGATGGCGACGTAGTCCGTAGCGACCCGGAGAGGGTCGAGTGTGTAAGCCAGGGAATGATGTGAGTCCTGGGTCACGACCTCCTCTTCGACAGGACGCGACACGCTCTCCCACGAGTCCGTCATCACCAGGTTGGGGTTTCTCTGCTAGAGGTAAAGACGTAGGCTGGTTGTGTTCACTAGGATGGGAAGCCAGCTGTCATATACAACGGTGTTAATTGAAAAGATCGCTTTGTAAGGTCCCACACAGGAAGAGATTCAGCTACCCTCAAAGAGTGTCCGTCAGTCAGGAAGAGATTCAGCTAGCCTCAAAGAGTGTCCGTTAGTCAGGAAGTGATTCAGCTAGCCTCAAAGAGTGTCCGTTAGTCAGGAAGAGATTCAGCTAGCCTCAAAGAGTGTCCGTCAGTCAGGAAGAGATTCAGCTAGCCTCAAAGAGTGTCCGTCAGTCAGGAAGAGATTCAGCTAGCCTCAAAGAGTGTCCGTTAGTCAGGAAGAGATTCAGCTAGCCTCAAAGAGTGTCCGTCAGTCAGGAAGAGATTCAGCTAGCCTCAAAGAGTGTCCGTCAGTCAGAATTAAGCTGATATATCGCGAGAAAGTCTTAAGCCAGTATAACTACTTAGCATGTTGATCAGACCACACACTAGAAGGTGAAGGGACGACGACGTTTCGGTTCGTCCTGGACCATTCTCAAGTCGTTCTATCGACTTGAGAATGGTCCAGGACGGACCGAAACGTCGTCGTCCCTTCACCTTCTAGTGTGTGGTCTGGTTAACATACTTTAGCCATGCTATTGTGACTCATCGCCTGCAACTACTTAGCACTTGGAAAGGGATAGACTTAGGAGCTGAGACATTAAGGCAGAGTTAAGAAACGGTACTCAACAACTTAGGCAGTGAGGATCGAACTCTGACCCCTGCAAAAAAACAGGCTTTTGCTTTACTGTACTGGACTTTACTTTGGACTTTACTGTAAAAGGGGTGACGCCGAGGAAAATAAGACTCGCGTCCCTACCAAAACGAAAAAGACAAGTCTTTTAATTTGGACTTTTACAGTCCAAATTAAAAGACAGTGATTTTCTAATGTGTTCTTGTTAATTCACTAATTTTAAATATACTGTATTATGACTGCATTCAATAGGATTTATATTGTATTTTTATTATAAAAGAGGATATGAGAATAATGTGGTCTGAGAACATTATTCTTTTAAAATGCAAACTGCATTACGAAGGTCATCATCATATGATGAATTTGTAGTGAACAAGCTCAAATACAAATATATTTCATGAAGTATTTTTTGGCAATTATTGATTTAAATATAAGGTTATCTTGAGGTTATCTTGAGGTGATTTCGGGGTGTTTTAGTGTCCCCGCGGCCCGGTCCTCGACCAGGCCTCCACCCCCAGGAAGCAGCCCGTGACAGCTGACTAACACCCATCTATCTATTTTCCTGCTAGGTAACAGGGGCATAGGGTGAAAGAAACTCTGCCCATTGTTTCTCGCCGACGCCTGGGATCGAACCCAAGACCAAAGGACCACAAGTCCAGCGTGCTGTCCGCTCGGCCGACCGGCCCCCTACACACATGCATACAGGTACACATACACGCACAAAATTCTTTCTACTATCTCAAGGATTCATAAATAAGTTTGATAAATAGTTTCCATTGTAATAAGTGGTTGGGTCCCATTCCTTCGTTGCGTCGAATCCTAAATCCACGTCTTCATATATCTTCCAAGTGCTCTATAATCGTATTGGCTTAGTATTGTCTTATCATTACTTAGGTACTAGTTGGGTTTCTTAAATTTCCTCTTTCTACGAATAGTTAAACTAATATTTCTTATAAAAACAAATCTAGCTTATCCTCGTGTTATTTAAATATAAGTCCTGTCGTCTGCATTATTTGCTTATTCCCTCATGAAGTAGGACATGTAAGTTTCTAGGTGATCAAATAACACCATTCACTTCTTACAATGGTTAGTAACAGTCATTACCACTCTCAGACATTCCTTGTGTCTTCAAATACCACAGTACTCTGTTTATTAACTTCAGATTCAATTTGTGATCATACAAAATAGATATAGGAATAGCCTCGTTTGTGGAGACCCTTTGTGGTTGACCAGACCACACACTAGAAGGTGAAGGGACGACGACGACGTTTCGGTCCGTCCTGGACCATTCTCAAGTCGATTGTGAGAATGTGAGACTTGAGAATAGTCTAGGACGGACCAAAACGTCGTCATCCATTCACTTTCTAGTGTGTGATTTGGTCTCCACCATTATGGAATCCGAGGCCTCGCCCTGAACTATATCCGATCCTATCTTGATGTTGACCAGACAACACACTAGAAGGTGAAGGGACGACGACGACGTTTCGGTCCATCCTGGACCATTCTCAAGTCGACTGTGTCTTCCATTCTAGACCCACCCTCTGTGGGTCTACAATGGAAGGGGGTGCTACTCTCAACGTTGCATTAAAACCGATCGAAAGAAAGGACTTACCTGCCACGTATCTAGATGGGTCCTGCGGTATCTGATAATGAACTCTGTGATAGGATAGTAGCTCTCGGTCTCCCAGGTCAGTGTGTACTTGTCGCTTTCCCCTCCATTGGGGCTGCTAGTGACCTGTGGAGGCTTGGGCAGACCTGGTAGGGGAAAGTGTTGGAAGGTTTTAATAGTTTCAGATTCTGGGAGGAGACTTTGGAAGGTTTTAATAGTGTCAGATTCAGGGAGGAGACTTTGGAAGGTTTTAATAGTTTCAGATTCTGGGAGGAGACTTTGGAAGGTTTTAATAGTGTCAGATTCAGGGAGGAGACTTTGGAAGGTTTTAATAATGCCAGATTCAGGGAGGAGACTTTAGAAGGTTTTAATAGTGCCAGATTCAGAGAGGAGACTTTGGAAGGTTTTAATAGTGTCAGATTCAGGGTGGAGACTTTGGAATCTGTTGCAGATGAATGGGGATTATGAGAGGGTTTCAATAGTGACAGCACAGAAGAGTATGCTTGAAATTAATTAAAAGTCAAGATTTTGAGATTGGAAAATGCAAGGCCACTTGAGATGATTAAATTGCATTTTGAGTCAGGAGACATTTAAACCAAGAAGATAACACAAGATAACCCGTCCTCCTAAGGTTTCGCCAACGTCAAGAATCTGTCGCACTAAAGTGCCATTATCCTAACCTACCAGAGGACCCAAAACAGAAAACGAGACAGTATGTCAATTTTACCAGCCGCTTCCATTTCCTAGTACAACGATTTTTGGCCTTAGGTGGAGTATACGTCAAAATACGACGTTCTATTAGGAGGACTATTTCCATTGGAGACTTTCAGCTCCTTGGAGAGGGGGGACCTGCTGCCTGGGTAACAGCTTCTTCCCCGAATCAACCTACCCTGGCTTTGCGCCCTGGGGAGGACCTGCTGCATGGGTAACAGCTTCTCCTACCCAGGCTTTGCGCCCTGGAGAGGCCACTCCAGACCGACAACCAGAGCGCAACTCCATAGTCTCCTGAGACTGATAGATACCTACTACTACTATTAGGAGGACGAATTTACACAGAAATACTCACTCGTCATTTGTATATGAGCGGTTTTCTGCCCTTGAGAATTCTCAGCAATACACACGTATGTCCCAACGTCTTCCTCCGTGACGGGGTCGATAGTGAGAGTGTGGCGGTGGGCGAAATAAGTCTGGCTGAGGTGGGTGTGGTGGGTGGTGCGGGTGTGGGCCTCCGGCTGCGGTAGGTGGAGTTGGGTGTCCATGATGGTGTCTGGTAGAGGGCGGCCATTGTGGGTCCAGACCACGTCTGGCGGTGGGCGGCCATGGACCACACACACTAGCTCCACCTTGTCCCCCTCTCCTGTCCTCACAATGGTCTGCACCATGTGAGAGAGAGAGAGAGAGAGAGAGAGAGAGAGAGAGAGAGAGAGAGAGAGAGAGAGAGAGAGAGAGAGAGAGAGAGAGAGAGAGAGAGAGAGAGAGAGAGAGAGAGAGAGAGAGAGAGAGAGAGAGAGAGAGAGAGAGAGAGAGAGAGAGAGAGAGAGAGAGAGAGAGAGAGAGAGAGAGAGAGAGAGAGAGACAGACAGACAGAGAGACAGAGTCAGAGAGACAGAGAGACAGAGAGAGCGAGACAGACAGACAGACAGACAGAGAGAGAGGGACACGGTTTTAGTATTTCGACAATGATAGTACAAGCTTATCTTCCACATGTGCTCAGAATTAATAGAACCTTTAACATTATTCTCTTCAGTTAATCAATACGACCTGAGTCCATTTGACTCACCTGGTCACCTGGTCTGTAGTGACCTTCGGGAGGTACTCAGGGGGGGGGACTCACCTGTTCCGCAGTGACCTCTGGCGGGTACTCGACGGTGCCAGGGGGGGTGGGACTCACCTGTTCCGCAGTGACCTCTGGCGGGTACTCGACGGTACCAGGGGGGGGGGACTCACCTGTTCCGCAGTGACCTCTGGCGGGTACTCGACGGTGCCAGGGGGGGGGGGGGACTCACCTGTTCCGCAGTGACCTCTGGCGGGTACTCGACGGTGCCAGGGGGGGTGGGACTCACCTGTTCCGCAGTGACCTCTGGCGGGTACTCGACAGTGACGGACATGGCGGCGGAGGCGGGTTCTCCGATGCCGTTGTCGGCGGTACAGAGGTAAGTTCCTTCCATGTGGCGATCCACCGCCTCCAGGGCCAGCCTCTCCCCCTGTCAGGGCAGGTCAGAGCAGGTCAGGACAGGTCAGGGCAGGTCAGGGAAGATTAGGACAGGTTAGGGCAGGTCAGGATAGGTTAGGACAGGTCAGGGAAGGCCAGGGAAGATTAGGACAGGTTAGGGCAGGTCAGGATAGGTTAGGACAGGTCAGGGAAGGTCAGAGCAGGTCAGGAAACGTCAGGACAGGTCAGAGCAGGTCAGGGCAGGCCAGGAAAGGTAAGGAAATGTCAGGAAAGGTCAGGAAAGGCCAGGGAAGACCAGGAAAGGTCAGGGAAGGTCAGGACAGGTCAGGGAAGGTCAGGGGTATATTCATGGACGCCAACATGTGTAATGAGAGATATTAAAATCAGGAGAGGAGGGAAAGTTGACGATCAGACTATCCTAAAATATTACATTCCCATGAAATTGGTCCATATAAAAGGTATTTATAAAGTGGTTGACTATTTATTGAACTTTTATTGATTAAAAATATAAGTCTCACCCTTAGGGAGAGATTTTTTAGTCATATTTTCAACCCTTTCGAGTGTGAAATAATTTCATGCAATCATTATTGCTGTAAAGTCAACTTTATTATAAGCCTTCGTTACTAAGCTACACTTACAGCAAACTACTTGGAGCGCCTTTGGGTCGCAACACAACTAATGAAATCCCTAATGGATGATGCAGTTTAGCGTTATTGGAATGTTTAAATGATTACCTGATAAAATTACCATAGGGGTGACATAGGGGTCACTTTGGTACCGAGTCAGGTGGCATTCATTTCATTATTACCAACCTCGGAGACCCATTTGGGACATATACTCAAACGGAATTACTGTTAAAATTAAGTGTAACGTATATAAATGTTGACCAGACCACACACTAGAAGTTGAAGAGACGACGACGTTTCGGTCCGTCCTGGACCATTCTCAAGTCTACTAGTCCAAGACGGACCGAAACATCGCCGTCTCTTCAACTTTACACTCACAATGTTAATTTGAGTGAATAACAAAATACGATAATAATCCATACAAATGAATAAGGTTGATTCAGACGCTTGTGATAAATAGCGAAGAAGAAGATTTGATGAATAATTCAAGTTACGAATTAAGAACTCACAGTTCCTGCGACGGCGCTGGAACCAATCGTATTGGCGTTTGCCTTTCCATTGGAGACTTTCAGCGCCGTGGAGAAGGGAGGGGGGGGACCTGCTGCATGGGTAACAGCTTCTCCCCCGAATCAACCTACCCAGGCTTTGCGCCCTGGTGAGGCCACTCCAGACCGACAACCAGAGCGCAACTCCATAGTCTCCCGAGACTGATGGATGCCTACTACTACTGAATTAAGACATATTCTGTCTCCACCGACCTGTTGACTAGGGCGCCCTGAGGGAAGAGGACCTTCTTGACGAGACCAGCGGATAATAGGCTCAGGGTTTCCATGCGCCTTGCATTCCAGGGTGACGCTGTGGCCCTTAGCGACCCTCTGCTCTGGCGGCACCAGGGATCTGACAGAGGGCGCGTACTGGACATCCAGGATGTGCCTCAGCTGAAGAGGCGGCTCCAGGTCGAACTGACAGATGAAAGTGCCGGCGTCTCTGGGTCGCGTGTGGGAGATGGTGAGTCTGGAGCCGTCGACAGCCATTCTGGGGTCTGGAATCACCTTATCGGTGCCCACTGATAGCAGTTTCTCGCTGCCACCATTAGCTGGGACTTTCTTGATGATTAGCCTGTTGCGCCCGCCTGAGGAACCAAGTGATTGATGACGATTGAGCCTCCCAAGAGGTGGCATGGGCATGAATAACCCGTAAATCAGAAACGAAAATGATGCTTAAATCTGATATATATGCAAATCACATAATTAAATTGAGCCCAAAGACTTAATATATACGAGATACATAACACTAATATTCTCAATCTTCAAATTCTCAAACCAAGTAAATATTATGCCAATACTGTTGAATCTGTGTAATTAAACACAGGTAGAACCGGTTGTGCCTATGTATTTAAAGACAATTAAGTCAGCATGTCAAGAAAGCAAAAACTGAACGATTGAGCAAACACAACATGGAGTTACTGGGCATTTATCAAGTTATTGAGAAATAAGCTAATTGGAGATGTATTTAAAGACAATTAAGTCAGCATGTCAAGAAAGCAAAAACTGAACGATTGAGCAAACACAACATGGAGTTACTGGGCATTTATCAAGTTATTGAGAAATAAGCTAATTGGAGATAGTAATAATATATTTAGAATGTCATTCTATCAGTGAATTAGCATGTAATATTGCGGTAAATGAGACGGATACCGACCATAAAAACTTTTTGAATTAAATTTGTGTGAATTCCATTTCATGTTTGGAGTTGTAAAGAATGTCTTTGTAAATCAATTGGCCAATGAGATTTGCAAGAAATATAATATTAAACTATCTAATTCAATTACTTATGACATACAAATTAAATTCACTAATTTGAGAGCTACAACATTAAAAATTCTGTCAACTTTTGTAATAATGAGTATTCATATGAGCAGAAAAGTAGTTGAATGAGTTAAAAACTATAAAGGTAATAAAAAGTGACTTAGTGACTAAAATTGCTAATCAGGAAAGCGAAGGTAAATCTCCAATAGAATAACATAGCATCCAAAGCCAAGGAACAACCTAAGCTATACCGACGACAAATCTAAGTCAGTGAGATATCAGTGATCAAATTCAAGACGCCCTTTACCTTAGTTAATTAAAAGATGTAAATTTGTCTTTAAAATGTAGTTATCACGAATTGATTATTATTTCTAGGTACGAAACAGCTTAGATAATAAAAATGTTATTAAGAAATGAAGATACACACAAAAATCACAATGACCTGACATATCAATTAAACAAATCCACAAGGGCCTTGATAAGGATTCGAACTTATACCCTGGGTGTTCCCAGAAGCGCTCTAGTCAACCGTACCACGACATGCTGGAGAGAGCATCTTAGTGGATTAGTTCAAGACGTGAGGAAGTCAAGATGTGACTTACTTGGCGTCTCTACGTCACAGGGGATGATGACAGACTGCCCCACCTCCACAGTGAAGGTCTGTGGCCGAGCTGAGAAGGCCGGGGGTTCGACACCGGAGTCCTGATAGTAATAGTAGTCGGCGGCTGAGTACTCCAAGTCCCCCTTGAAGCTGCCCATGGAGTGCCCTGCGAATAACCCAGAATTTTGTTTTTTCCTGTTGGGTATATTATATTGTGTGTGTGTGTGTGTGTGTGTGTGTGTGTGTGTGTGTGTGTGTGTGTGTGTGTGTGTGTGTGTGTGTGTGTGTATCACGAAAATAAACACGTGATTAAAAATGTGACAGTGTCAGACCACGGAGGAAAATTGAAACAGGAATTTCCTTAAGTACTTTCGTATATTAATACATCTTCAGCACTCCTTCTGAAGATGTATTAATATACGAAAGTACTTAAGGAAATTCCTGTTTCAATTTTCCACCGTGGTTTGACACTGTCATATATATATATATATATATATATATATATATATATATATATATATATATATATATATATATATATATATATATATATATATATATATATATATATATATATATATATATATATATATATATATATATATATATATATATAACAAAGACAATAAAGCTATATACGGTATAAATACAGAGATTAAGGCATTAAACGTAGCATTAAAAATTAGCACACAATTCCTTTAAAACAGGTGAAGGTAGATGGCGTACTCTAAGCCAGAGACACACACACAAGTTCCTCGTGGAAGCACCAGTGTTAAAACCTTGCAAATAAGCTCTCCACCCAGCCTCCGACATTGTGCAACATTGCAGAAGAGCAACATTGCTCTCCCTATCGGGATTACAGTCCTGTGTAGCGTGGGAGATGCTATCCTTTCCCCCCACCACCACTCTGTCTCTCCCTCTGTCTCTCTCTCTCCCAGTCACTGCTACAAAGCTAGTGTAACCGGTATAGATATTGACCTCGTATCATGCCGGGTGCAATCCAGTGCCTACATTGGTGCCAGCCCCCGTGAAACTGCACATCCTGCAGCAAAATGCAGGTGTCTTGACCATCACGCCAGCAGGATATCATACATGATGAGACACGTTGGCAACGGGTATTCATTTCGTGAGAAGTCGAATGCATTTTCTCACTTGCTAAGGGCAGCGGTATGAGATATGAAAGTAGGACAATACAGTAGTATGACACGGAACAATTAAGTTGGAACTTGGAAGAGATAGGACACAGCAAAGATAGGACACAGCAAAGATAGGACACAGCAAAGATAGGACACAGCAAAGATTGGACACAGCAGAGATAGGACACAGCAACGATAGGACACAGCAAAGATAGGACACAGCAAAGATAGGACACAGCAGAGATAGAACACAGCAAAGATAGGACACAGCAAAGATAGAACACAGCAAAGATAGAACACAGCAAAGATAGAACACAGCAAAGATAGGACACAGCAAAGATAGGACACAGCAAAGATAGAACACAGCAAAGATAGGGTACAGCAAAGATAGAACACAGCAAAGATAGAACACAGCAAAGATAGAACACAGCAAAGATAGAACACAGCAAAGATAGAACACAGCAAAGATAGGGTACAGCAAAGATAGAACACAGCAAAGATAGAACACAGCAAAGATAGAACACAGCAAAGATAGAACACAGCAAAGATAGAACACAGCAAAGATAGAACACAGCAAAGATAGGACACAGCAAAGATAGAACACAGCAAAGATAGGGTACAGCAAAGATAGAACACAGCAAAGATAGAACACAGCAAAGATAGGACACAGCAAAGTACGTGACAGAACTAAGTCACAACAAAAAGTCAAATAACATAACATAGGGAGAAAACAGAGAGAAAATTCCTAACCAGGAGCCGGTCGGCCGAGCGGACAGCACGCTGGACTTGTGATCCTGTGGTCCTGGGTTCGATCCCAGGCGCCGGCGAGAAACAATGGGCAGAGTTTCTTTCACCCTATGCCCCTGTTACCTAGCAGTAAAATAGGTACCTGGGTGTCAGTCAGCTGTCACGGGCTGCTTCCTGGGGGTGGAGGCCTGGTCGAGGACCGGACCGCGGGGACACTAAAAAAAAAAAAAAAGCCCCGAAATCATCTCAAGATAACCTCAAGATAACCACAAAATCTGTCGCGTTTACGCAAAAAAAATAGAACCCATAAAACTATATCGTCAGAAGAAAATATATTGAAGGAAGTTCAAGATGGGTCATTACGACTCTGTTGACCTCGAGGGGTCACAACACCACCAAATGCTGCGTGTTGAGAACATGTGCGAACTGAATATATTATCTGTGTCTGCAGAATCGAGTTATTAGCTCCTGGACCCCACCTTTCAAACCGATTTATTTGACACATATCTACTACATATATTTCTCTCTAACACACACACATATACATACACCCGTGTGTATGTATATGTGTTGTAGTCTAGTTACTTGTAGTCACTTGTATGTGAGTACAAGTGACATAGTAGTCAATAAAGTAATCTATTAATCCCCTTCAGGTAATCCAGTAATCCATACAAGTAATCAAGTACAGAGTGTAAAAGAGAGCATCAAATTTCAATTACATTTTTCCTCTGCTAAGCTTCAGGTGATGGGTATTAACCATGTTAATATTTTACGTCGCGACGTAAATAGGGGCCCCAGTTGTTGGATTATTAGCAGCTTGAGCATGTCAATAAGTAATAATCTTAAAGCTTTACCGGGGCTCTAGATATGTTAGAGGGGCTGCTCTTGCTCTGTTGTCTAGGAGGAGGGGGAGGGGGTGGGGGGTGAGAGGGTATAACTGATTGGCACACTTGATTAGCACAGTATATGGATACGTCAATCACAGTATATGGATACGTCAATCATAGTATATGGATACGTCAATCACAGTATAAGAATACGTCAAGCACAGTATATGACTATAGCTTCTAGAGGAAATATCAAAGTCCCCTGGTTCACTATTCCCCCCCCCCCTCTTTTCCTATTCCACATCTCTCCAACTTTCTTTCCCAATACCGCCTTTTCTCCCTCATTTCTCTTTTCCCTTTCTCCCTGTTTATTCCCTATCTACCCTCTCTTCCAATTTTCATCTCTCACATTCTTCCCTCTCTCCTCTTCTCTACCCAATCATCGTAGCTTTCCTTCCCTGTCTGTAAACATCCTCTCTCTCCCCTATCTCCTTTCTTTCTCTCTCTCTCTCTCTCTCTCTCTCTCTCTCTCTCTCTCTCTCTCTCTCTCTCTCTCTCTCTCTCTCTCTCTCTCTCTCTCTCTCTCTTTCTCTCTCTCTCTCTCAGAAAAATTATAACGAAGCCCTGAAACTGATGAATACGTCCATAATCACTATATTTGATAAGGCATTAGTTCACAATCACTATATTTGATAAGGTATTAGTCCACAATCACTATATTTGATAAGGTATTAGTCCATAATCACTATATTTGATAAGGCATTAGTTCACAATCACTATATTTGATAAGGTATTAGTGAATAATCACTATATTTGATAAGGTATTAGTGCATAATCACTATATTTGATAAGGTATTACTCCACATTCACTATATTTGATAAGGTATTAGTCCACAATCACTATATTGATAAGGTATTAGTCCACAATCACTATATTTGATAAGGTATTAGTCCACAATCACTATATTTGATAAGGCATTAGTCCACAATCACTATATTTTCTAAGGTACTATATTTGATATTGGTCCAAAACCACTATATTTGATAAGTCATTAGTTCACCTTCACTATATTTGATAAGGCATCAGTCCACAATCACTATATTTGATAAGGCATCAGTCCACAATCACTATCACACAGACTCATCACCGTCGACGACATATTCAAGCCCTTCACAGTCACAGGAACACAAGATACCGACGGTGCTGCTACCCAAGCTCTCCTCACCGTTCCCAGACAATTCCTGCATTCTTAACTATCGTCTCAGAGAAGAGACGATAGTTATCGCCTTTAACTGATTACTGACGTCTCAGTAATCACCTTTCCGGACGGAGATGAGGCCCCTTGATTCTCAAGTCAGATCCCTACAGCTACTTAGGTACACAGAATCGACTTGAGAATGGTCCAGGACGGACCGAAACGTCGTCGTCCCTTCAGCTTCTAGTGTGTGGTCTGGTCAACACACTTAGGTACAGAATTCCAGGTTTGTAGTAATATCAAAAACTACGTCCTGGAAGCGTCCACAACTACGTCCACAACTTCTAGTGTGTGGAGTCAACACACTTAGGTACAGAATTCCAGGTTTGTCGTAATATCAAAAACTACATCCTGGAAGCGAGTACTCCCTCGGTGGACTACTGGAATCCAGGATTCTGGATTACTTAGGGTTTTGCTTGTTGTTTGAGACGGTAGACGGCTATCGTTCGAATGTTGTTTTGATAAGATGATTCGGGTTTATATCGTCTTGATTTATTCTGTTTATTGTTTTATATTTCGTGGGGAGATTGGCTCTTGTGTGTTTAGTTTGTAAAGCTGTTAATCACGTTATTACTAGTCTTTAGTCTCGTATGTATATAACATGTCTCCAGATCCTAATCCGGATATCAAGTTATATTCAGCCTACGTTCGGATTTCACGTAATATTCAGATTTCATTCTGGATATCTTCAGCCCTATCCTGATTTAACGGTATCTTCAGCCTCTTATTCGGATATCACGTTATCTTCAGACCCTTTTTGAAGATCATAGATGCCATATCTAATAGTTAATTTCACCAATTTTTGTCCATCAATGTAGCAAACTTGGGAGAGAGAGCGGGTCTCTATGGCTATTGTTATTGATTTAGCAGTCTCCGTGGTGTAGTGGTAAGACACTCGCCTGGCGTTCCGCGAGCGCTATGTCATGGGTTCGTATCCTGGCCGGGGAGGATTTATTGGGCGCAATTCCTTATCTGTAGCTTCTGTTTAACGCAACAGTAAAATGTGTACTTGGATGAAAAAACGATTCTTCGCGGCAGGGGATCGTATTCCAGGGAACATAGGATTAAGGACTTGCCCGAAACGCTACGCGTACTAGTGGCTGTACAAGAATGTAACTCTTGTATATATCTCAAATTGTAATTAAGGTGCGCTACAGAGGGGGATTTCGAGAGCTGAACAACACTCTCCCTCTTTTTTCA